GTGTTTATATATATATATATATATATATATATATATATATATATATATTAGAAAGCGAGAGAGAGAGTTAGGGCTATCAAGGACTGAACAGATAAATTAGACGATTTCTATGCACACTACACATCTATGTATATGTATATCAATATGTATACACATACACCATTGCACTGGTAACACGTTACTGTTACCTCTGTTACTGACAGTGTATTTACTGTTTGTTGACTGTAATCAAATTCTGAGGTTACAGGATGGCTGTTTGAAAACTGCTCAGATACCATGATACATGATGAATATAAGCATTCAACAAACAGTTTCACTTCCTGGCAATTGTTGCAATAAAATCTCTACTTTGTCTCTGCAGTCCCTGATAAAGTATTTGGTGGATGAGTCCAATCAATCAATCAATCAATAAAAATGTACCATGGTACAGTAATACCAGTGCAACAAGATTAAATTCTGCGGTTACAGAATGATTGTTTGACAACATCGTGTTGAGATACTATGATATAAATATGGGCTTTCAATAGACATTAAAAGCATAAAAAATTAACACTTTTTATTAAAAAAACATTTACAATTGCTAAGAGGTGGTTCTGAATGAGCATTATGAAGACAAAGTAAAAAAAACTCGAGTAAGAATCAGTGTTCATTTTTGTTTATTAGATATGCTGGATGTTTTACATTAGGTCTTTTGAAAGCTTACTGATAATTTTGTATAAGTATCCTATGCCATCAATTGTATATCTGCCTAACTTGTAACTTATTGTTTGCAGAGTGAGGCACCTAAAATGTGCTGCGCTCGGTCACCAGATTGATACACTTGTAATTATAATGTCCCACCTGCTGCAGGCCACTGGCCCGGACCTGGACCCTGATGCTTCTGTTAGTCACATGTCTTCTCTACTGGTCACGGATGGCCATGCCAATCTGTGCCGTCACCATGGCAAAAGAATTCGGATGGAGCAAGACCGAGACTGGCATAGTGCTGGGTGCTTTTTTCTGGGGTTACTGTTTTACTCAGGTACTTGGTGGCCATGCCAGTGATAGGTGAGTGTTTTGGTGAAGGGTACAGGTCGTAGATCAATTATGGAAAGTAGAAGATGATGATGATGATGATGATGATGATGAGCATTGTTTTTACAGGATAGGAGGAGAGAGAGTACTGCTCCTGTCCACCTTCTCCTGGGCCGTGATGACGGCTATCACTCCGCTTCTGGCCAACATTGGACTTCGACCTCTTGTTACCATGACAGTGACCAGGTTTCTATTGGGTGTAATGCAAGGTGAGACCATTGTGAGAGACAGCTGGGGAGAAAATTGTAAGACGAATGAGGGGAATTTTGAGAGAATCTCATTAATTAAAAAATGTACAGAAATAATCTATCAACATGTTTGAACTTGAAATTTCCACCAGCAAGTCTGTAAAATCAGTTGCTAGGGGCATTGGCTGTAATTACTAGGGTGGGTCTAAGTTAGTTTAATCAGAATCAGCTCACCCTGACTGATTTCAGTTGTTCATTTTGGACATCACACATTTTTTACATTTACTTGGCAACATTTCCACCTTTGGTACATGATAATAAATTGAAATTATGAAAAACAGTTGAAATGACATACAGTATATGACATAAAAGTAAAATTTATCTCATAAAAAGTCAAAATGATGACAGAAATTCATAATTATGAGATTAAATAGTCAAAATGATGACAAAATATATATGTATAATGTAATAATTTTGACTTTATATGTCATGAATACAAATTTTATATTAAAAACATCAACTTTTTTATCTCAATTATGACATAATTTTGATTTCTGTGTCACCCATATAAAATATAATTTAGGGTGTATTCACACCTGTCTTGTTTGGTTTGATTGAATCAAACTCAAGTTCGTTTCCCACTTTGGTGCTGATCTTTTGGGCAGGTGTGAATACAGCAATCGCACTCGGGTGCGGACCAAACAACCGTACCGAGACCCAGCTGAAGAGGTGGTCTCGGTCCACTTCCAAACGAACTCTAGTACGGTTGAATGGATAAACCAATGAAATGATGACCTCAAGCACACGTGTGGTTTTGTTTACAGTTTCTGGCTCACTTGCAAAAAGGGCAGTGTGAAAGCGAACCACACCAAACAAAAAAAATCAACATTGTATTTTGTCCGGACCAAAGCAAGTGAACTAGCGGACTCTCCTGGTGTGAATACACCCTTATACTTCTCATCACATAATCATGACTTAGTATGTCATAATTTAGACTCTCTCTTTATGTTTCATAATTATGACATTAATCTGATAATTTAGATTTTTTATCTCATAATTCTGATTTAGTATGTCATAAAGTCAACTTCTTATCTCATAATTATGGCTTAGTATGTCATAATTTAGACTTTTTATCTCATAATTATAGTATCTTATCATTGTAACATAGTATTTACTTTTTTATGTCATACTTTTTTGTTACCATTTTTTTCCTCGTGCAGCAGAAATGGGCTTCCATATCCCCTTAAAGGTAAAAAGCAATTCTCAGTAGGACATGATTGTGAGTTTGTGTTATGCTCTCTTTGTTTTTAGGGGTTCACTACCCTTCTCTTGTCAGTATCTGTGCTCAGCGTGTGAAGGAGGGAGAGAGAGGTTTATTGATGAGCATTCTGGCCTGTGGGTGCTACCTAGGGTAAGATATAATAAAAGTTTTCCCAATCATTCTATTTGAATTCATATTTTTATTTATTTATTTATTTGAAGTGTAAAATAAAACTGGAATTACATACCGTAATTTAGTGTTTCACACTAGGGGTGTGAATCTTCACTGGTTTCACGATTCGATTCACTCTATGTCACGATTCGTTGCATCCTCAGCTTTCAATATTACTGCACATGGCTACATTTTCATATATAGTTTATATCAGATTTATATTGTGCATTTTTATTAAATGATATAAGCAGGCTACTTTTTAAAATAATTACAAATGAATAATAAATCAAAACAATTGTTAATAGGCTGCATTCATACTACTGCACAGATCTATTTCGACATATCAGATGTTTTGTCCTGTTCTGAAAACATAACTGACTGTGTTTACATCAGTTTCCTATCATAAAAGTATTCTATGAGAATCAATATTTCCTCCCACCCCTATTCCACACTATTCATGATTTTGTCATTGAGATGTCTGTCTCTCTTAGGATGCTGCTGGTTGGAGGTGTAGGTTCCCTGATGCTGGACTGGTTTGGATGGGGGAGTGTGTTTTATGGAGCTGGTCTCCTTGCTCTTTGCTGGACCTGTTGTGTATGGAAATGTCTTCTGCAAGGTACTTAAATTGTGGTCCTTTACATGTTTAAGTAGCATTGTTCTTGAGATTTTGCACTCGTTCTTGATTGAGTGCTATTTTATTGCTCTGAAGGTCAGAATTTGTATAATGAAGTCTCTTAGAGAAGTCGCAGTGAATCAGAGAAAATCAGTGTTGGCTTCAGTATTTGTGTTTGCCATAGCAACTGTGTGGATAGAATAATTGGATCTTTTTTGCTAGTGTTATTTTACAACACCCTGTTTTTAAAAATCTGACTCACCACAATGCAGCACTACTAAATAAGAGATTTCTATATCGAGGACCCTGCTATATCTTAATAATCTCATGTTGGTGTTCAGAAATCGTGTTTGTTATATATTACAGTTTAAAATGTGT